CGGACTCTGTACCTATTACCGGAAATTTGTGAAGGACTTTGCAGCTATAGCTGCTCCACTACATGATTTAACAAAAAAGGCCAGAAGTTCGAACAGACAGTTTCTTGCCAGCATGCGTTTAAGACATTGAATGAAAAATTGGCCTCAGCTCCACTTTTAAAGCTTCCAAATCCCTCACTGCCACACATACTGGATTGTAATGCTAGTAATGTTGGAATTCGAGGAGTGTTGTCTCAGAAAGTGGGCGAAAACAAACATGTGGTGGCCTACTTCAGTTGGGTCCTGAGTAGACCAGAGATGAACTACTGCGTAACATGGAGGAAACTCCTTGCTATAGTAAAGAGTCTGACATATTTCCATCCTTACCTATATGGAGCCAGGTTTACCATCAGGACAGACCATGTTTCATTACGCTGGTTAAGATCATTAAAAAACACAGAGGGACAACTGGCACGTTGGATCAGAAAGATAGACCAGTATACTTATGATACTGAATACAGAGAAGGAAAATCTCATGGAAATGCAGACGGACTGAGTCAAAGACCCTGCAAAAAATGACTGCAGACATTGCTGCAAAAGAGACGTTGAATTAACCAGGTGACATCAAGCTGAAGTCAAAGTGACTAAAGGGGCTGATGATGGTGAAATAGAACCAGGTATAGATGTTAAAGCAGAGCAGGAGAAAGACCATTATTTAACGCCAATAATTGATTTCCTACAAGTAAGTGTTTTGCGCTCTGCTTGGGAGAAGGTGTCTAGCTTAAGCCCTGTGACAAAAAACTATTGGGCACAATGGGACCAGTTGAAGCTTGAAGATGGCAGTCTTGTCCGGAGATGGGAAAGTGACGACTTGGCAAATAGTTATACCGAGAAAGTTACGGGAAGTTGTGCTGCGTCAATCCCATGACAGTTTAACAGGAGGACATCTTGGAGCTAAGAAGACATTGAGTCACCTACGACAGAGATTTTACTGGATAGGTATGAGGCAATAGTGGTTTCATGCTCTGCTGTCCTATAGGCCATCAACAGTGGAGGGAGTAAGACATCCCAGTCATCTTGGCGGCTATTACAAAACTTTGCCAATTCCTGTCCAAGTGTCCAATTGTACTTTTCTACCATCCCATCGGACTGTGGGTGAAGTGGCGTTGTCCTGGTCTTTCGTATGCCAAATAATTTGCCGCATTCATGGAACACAGCTGATTCAAAGTTACGGCCTTGATCTGAATGCAGTTCGTATGGCATACCAAATCTGAAGAAGAAATCACTAAAAGCGAAGCTACACTTGTAGCTTCCTGATTTGGTATTGCATATGCCTCAGGCCACTTGGTGAAATAATCCATCACCACACAAATGTACTTGTTTCCAGCATGAGTTTGGGGCAGAGGACCAGCAATGTCAACGGCTACTCTTTCCATTGGTATGCCAAATTGATATAACTTCATTGGAGCACGTCCCTTATGCTTGGGTCCCCTTTTAGCACAACATGTACTGCATGTCCTGCACCATTCTTCCACATCTGGTGGATATCATCCATCCTTTCCGATAACACTTTCACAAACTCTGACACATTCTCAGGCAACTCTTCATAAGGTGGGCGTCCCTTATGCTTGGATCCCCTTTTATCACTACATGTACTGCATGTCCTGCACCATTTTTCCACATCACGCCTCATACCTATCCAATAAAATCTCTGTCGTAGGTGACACATTTTCAGGCAACTCTTCACAAGGTGGGCGTCCTGTTAACAGATCCACTGGCAACCGAAGTTCCCGACCAAACATCAACTTTGCTGGAGTGTATCCTCAAGTGCGTTCAAACGGTTCAAAGCTGACTTCAGTAGATCTCTTATCATAAGTAACTTCATCGAATCAGCAGACGTTTTCAAAGGAGACAAGGTGTGGTTGTACAATCCCAGGAAGACCAGAGCGAAGTCTCCTAAGTTGTCTTCTCCATGGGAAGGCCCATATGACATAGTGGATCGTCTCTCAGACGTGACTTTCCGAATCAAATGTGGTCGGCGAAGCAAGCCAAAAGTGGCGCATGCCAACAGGCTTTGGCGTTATCACGGTCCAGGACATTTCAGTTGGGACAAAGTGAACAAAGGAACAAATGACACTGCTGAAGAAGTGTCACCTGAAAAAGCCACTGTCGAAGAAGAAACTCTACTCAGTTTTGAGAAGGGAAACGGTGAAGCTCTTGATGAAGTTACTACCACTGATGTGACTGTTATCGACGATAGGATATTTCCTGATGAAGCAGATGAACCCCATAGGAAGCAGAAGCCAACGAGACTGAGACCAGTACGGAAGAAGATACATCACGTAAAATTAAGAGACTTTGTTGAATTGTAATTTTGTGTTTGTAATTCTGTACATTTAATTAAGTTATTATTAATTGTTATTGGTTTAATGTAGGATGCTATTGTTTGGGACGAACAATATTAAGGAAGGGGCAGTGTTACGACAACGCAGGTCATGTGACGCTTGTATCACGCCACTTCCTTCTCGAACCTTCATGGAACACGAGTGTTAAGATTTTCGAGAGTAATATATATTTGGAATAAGGGGGTTTAGATTTGTGTAGTTAACAGATGACATCTGCAAATCTGACTTTTTTACAATTCTAAATGATGCCGAGATAAAAAAAGTGATTTTTTTTTTCAAATGAGTTATAGATCCGACTATATATTAAGAAATGTCATGAACTGGCGTACATTTAGTGATCCCGTCTTTGATTCGTTTCAAAGACGTAGCAAAACAGGAATTGAAACTGTTTCTCCTGCTTGAGAAACGATAAATACTTTAGGCCTAAAATTTGTTATAAAAATTAAATTAACCACAGATGTGTTTGTTTTTAAACCACATTCCTAGTAAGTTGTCCATTTTGGTTTCGAAATCAGTGGTGTGTAAAAATAGAATTTCACAACCATCTTTCTCTTTCGTGTCAGAAAACTTTTCAGGACGCACGAGAGAAGCCATGCATAGCAGTATATGCGAACTAATTTCTAGTTCTGCGTCAAGCAGCTGAGTCTGTAAAGCACGAAACCTTATTAGTTAAAAAAGTCAGATGAGACATTATAACAAGATTAGTCACAGTAGTAATGAAAATACAACTTTATAAACTGCATTAATTATGGAATCTTTTTGATTCAGGCTACAAATTTCTTAGTGAAGAAAGAAGAGAAACATTACAGTTGTGGAAACAAAACAAAAACGGCCCCTTAATCGCTTATACGTGTGCTTGTAAGAAAGAACGTGCCTGATTTTCCTTCACTAAGATCTTTGGTATCATTAGCGGAAGTGGCTACTTTAATAATTAGCGGAAGCGGACCCACTTCAGAACTTCGAAGCACTTAGAAAAGTGGCCCAATTCCTGATTTGGCACCCAAGTTGGGAGTTTGTTCTTGTCAGTTGACGCGTAGTAAACTTTTTTTTCTCGTATATCTTATGAAAGATAAGTTCATTGCGGAGGTCCGGGATGCTTGAATACTTGACGAAAAGAAAACCTCTTGAGGTATGTTGATTTTTTTTAAGTAAAGAGTTCTCCATTCTCAGAAACACAAATCTCTGGTTAACATCAGAATAGATATATAACTAACTTGAGTATTTTATTATAGTATTGCCCCGCCGGTGGCTCAACGGTATGCTCGAAGGCTTATGTGCTAAAATTCGAAGTTCGATCCATGCGATGGGCATAGCACAGATAACCCATTGTGCAGCATTTACTTACCAAGAAACAGGTGTGGGCTCGACTGGATGTCATCATATTTCCTCTAAAGGTTCTTTTTTATAATAGAAGATGTCACTGGTCTTGATACGTAAGGAAGTCAGTACGGTAGAATAACCCGAAAGTTTTAAAACGAAACTAGCCAATACTCAATATCAATCACTTGGAGAACTTCTTTGTTTGTAGTTAAGCTCAAAACTAAAGAATGGACTCTCGGTGCTGTGCCCACCAAGGGTATCGAAACCCGGTTTCTAGCGTTGTAAACCTTCAGACTTTCCGCTGTGCCACAATTAATCTTTATGTATTATTTAAGTAAGAACTTTTTTATAATAAATATGATATTGATGCTTTATTTGCTTGCTCTAAACCACATCGAAAACAAAACGTCTAATTATGTATGCAACATCATTTTGTGCAATAAAAAATCATGCCATAAAAACTAATGTGTACAAGAACACTGTAAACTATAATTTTACTAGCAAATGTGTGTGTACCTCGCACGATATTTATTTCGTTGCTTCACAGCAATGGCGTAACGGAGTACGTTGCGACTTTCGCCATGCAAGTCTATTGAATACGGACGATCAGCAAAGGTACCCTTGCTACGCGGGGCATTAAACGTCATTTTCTTTGGTAAAAATTGGAATACTTAAATGGCTACCAACTCGAGCCGTCCTTCCTATTAATCAAAATTTAAACTTGATCTGTGAGAGCTCCTCCAATTCCTCACTACAGCTTGTGACGTTAAGACACCATAGAGACAGAAAGACGGACAACTCTGCTTTATAAATTCAAGCTGAGAGTCTCGGTTAAGGAAACAAACATTGTATAAAGGACAACAGTAGATAATTTTCCCTTCCCTCTTTCTTCTGTTATTAAATCTCTAATGACCTCATTAGGTGCAAATTGCATAAACTCCTTTATGGAAGGTAATAATTGACTTATTTAGCTGACTAGGTACTTGTGTCTTTAAATTCAAAGTCAAAAGCATATTAAAAAGTGGAAATGCTCCCTTATTTTTGTGTTTTTATTCCCCTTCTCGGATAAAAATTCAAAAAACAAAATAATCCATGTACAGTGTCGGAAAGTTTCCAATTACCATACAAAAATACGGTAATCGAGCCAGCCAACTGTGGTTGATGGGTGTTAACACACATAGTGGATCATCTTTATAGTAAGATATAAATAAGGAACAGTTTACAAAAAAAGAAACTGATAGGAAATAGATAAGATAGGAGCGATAAACACGTAGTGCTAAAATGGAAGAAACTTTGTAACACTGATTGATGAAACATTCACAAATGTAGGGTTACATGGGAACCAATTAAGAAACATAGTCACAATCATCTATTACACTAAAAATCAATGGCCATGATAAAACAAAAACCAATTGGACCAAAAAACAACAACAAAGAAATAACTAGTGAGCTGATAAAGTCGACTGAAAATAACAGCTAAGTTAACACAAGAGGAGAAAGAACATCTGAGTTAACACAAGAGGAGAAAGAACATCTGAGTTAACACAAGAGGAGGAAGAACAGCTGAGTTAACATAAATGGAGGAAGAACAGCTGAGTTAACATAAATGGAGGAAGAACATCTGAGTTAACATAAATGGAGGAAGAACATCTGAGTTAACATAAATTAAGTTCAATAAAGTTAACACAAGAGGAGGAATATTAGCCGAGTTATAAAAAGATAAACTAAACTTGTTGAGTTTTGACACTTACTTTTTTGGCCGTAAAACAGAACAGATGAATGTTGAAGACATCGGTTTGTTTGTTTGTTTTGTTTGTTTTTTGGAATTTCGCACAAAGCTACACGAGGGCTATCTGCGCTAGCCGTCCCTAATTTAGCAGTGTAAGACTAGAGGGAAGGCAGCTAGTCATCACCACCCAC